CTGCCTTTAACGCTACGGGACTTCCTGCATTCCTTTCAAGTCTCAAGATTACAGTCGCAAACTGTACATTTGAAACCACCAGCTATTCGTTTGTTTATAATAACTTGTATACACACTTTTAAAAAAAAAACATGACAGAAACCAGTCTTCTCCCCTCCCCCCTCCTTTCTGCCTGTCACCTCATCAATTAGAACCTGGTTTCGAGCCACTGCGAACAAATGTCACTACAACCCCAGTGACGTCACGGCAGACACTACACGCATGCGCCAATGTGTTCGTTGCGCTACGCTGCCATGTTCCGATTGTCGACTGCGTTCCCTCGACTGAGTTATAGGTTATGTTTGGAATGAACATTTGTACCACTTATAAAACCAAACGAGGGGGGGGAGGAGGAGGAGGGGACACTTGGTTAATCGAGACGTGCCCCTGCGCGTATGACGACGTCAAAGTACCCCTCATGTTTTGGGAGAAGGGTTCGTGTTGCAGACCTCAGACGGATTTGTACGTGCTGATAATGAAACCTTGTTTTCTACTACGTAATGTGCATCGCAACGGAGAAAGCCATTCGGTAACCCGCTCTTATTTTTCCGGTCCGTTAGTAAGACAACGAATGGGCACGGCTACTCAAGTGGCACGTAAGACGTCCACCTTGTTCCTGAGCTTCTCTGACGTCATTCTGCTAAACGTTCCCTCCACCATTCTCCTCCGAGTACCATAACTACAGTTTAAAAGTTAAAGAAACTATAAAAAGTGTCTTCCAAAGAGTGGAAATGCCGAACTACGTAAGCTCACTCCATATAAAAACAGACTTTACAGACAACTTTCTTAACAAACTGATTATCGTGGCTTATTTTATTGTTAACACGTTCTTTAGATGACGTAAATAAAATAAACGCAAATCGGACTGGTCAGGGCTGATGATTGAACTCGAGAACAACTAGACGAATTTGTATTAAATTTGGTGTGGACGTTATGTCACAGACCTCAAACCGCACTTTCCAATTCACTACAATCGGTAATACCAACACAGCGGACGAACAATCTTCTGAGGTGAGATCGATACTGGGGGCTATCAAATAAAGAGCATGGTTATATTTCTATAAAATAAAATAAAAAAGTACGAAATACTTGACCATATAGTGACCTCTAGGTTTTAAAAGGGGGCTAAGCCAATCTTTTTAAGCTTAATGTGTCTGTGTTCCTCATGACACCAATAGATATTTCACTGGAATCAAAACAGATACTTGTATTTAACTCTCTCACTCACTCAACACAATAATCCCTCCTAGTTTCATAATGCCGTTGCGACAGAACTCACGTTCAAAGCAGTTTAGCTTTCTGGTTAGCTGCGGTCTAGATCGTATGGTGGTTGGAACAAGACAGTCGAACAATGGCGATAAAACTCTGTAGTCATTCGTACGCATGCGCAGTGTCAGGTTGAAGGAAAACGTGCTACATGTCAGGAGCTCAGTGTAGACGGTGGCGCCAACAGATTGAATTTCGAAAGCACATCATCATTAACGTATCAGAAAACGGCGAATATTACTTTCCCATCAGAATCGCCCCCTTAAATAACTCTCAACATCTAAAGTCAGTCTCTGTCCGTTGTTTATTCTGTACTGACGTCTCGTTACGGTCGGCCATTTTCACGACTGTAATTCAGAGACATCTAGTGGCAGAACTATGTAATATCACACACGAAAGTTTTAAGTGACGATGTTTCTTGGGGAAAAATAAGAGGAATTTTCAGTACGCCCTCATAATTAACCCACACGACACATTCAATGTTGATTCGTCCTTCCAAAAAAACAAAACTCCGTGAGCTTTCACTAGGAATACAAGCGATAGATACCTCGTACGTGTGACGTCACGACGTGTGCCTTCGTCATGACCCCGATCCACCATCTTTCTTCCCCTTGAACTGGCATCCAGAGCTGCTAAATCATTTACCGACCACGTTTTCGTAATTAATTACTTTGGCGTGCTGTTTGTCTGTTGAATATGAAGCCCACTATAAGTGGAGAATTGTACGACAAACCATGTGAACGGTAAAAGGCTTTAACACTCCAACTTCCTAATAACGTCTTATGACGAAATGCTACAAAGAACTTATTATTAATAAGGCAGTGAGATGGCCACGGTGGTCTAGCGGTTAGAACGCTGGCCTTGTAATCCTGGGGTCTCGGGTTCGAATTTATAACTTGTGTTGGGCAAGGCCGTGGTCTAGGCAACACGGAGTTTTCCTCCGTGGCATCCCAACAATTACTCCAATCACACACAGAAGAAGGCAATGGCAAACCACTTCTGGATCATCTGCCAAGAACATATATGAACAGGTCCCAGTCCGAGAAAAGGATGGAAGGATCCTGTTCATACGGACCTGTCGTCAGACAGAACACTAAAAAAAAAAAACAGACGAAGGCAATGGCAAACCACTTCTGGATCATCTGCCAAGAACGTATATGAACAGGTCCCAGTCCGAGAAAAGGATGGAAGGATCCTGTTCATATGGACCTGTCCTCAGACAGAACACTAAATAAATAAAAATAAATGGCAGTGAGCAGAATTTGATGTCCAGCTTAGAGATGATTCTGGTCCATGAAAATCCTTAAAAAAAAATCTGACGACATTTTAAAAGTCTTCTGTTGCGTACGATACTCTAAAAAAATCAAATGACTTCAATCAGGCTACAAACGTATGTCTTGCCAACTTCTATAAAGCCGGCACGTATCAATGAACGTACGAACACGATCATCTACGTCATTAGCTTTAATTTGAGTTTGTGTTTAATTTTAACGACATTCAGGTAATCAAAAACAATTCGTAAAAAAAATATATCAGCATTTAATTCCAGCGCAAATTAGATAAAAGTGCGATATTCAAAATCCCCGAACATTTTACTAGTCATATCAACGTTCAGAGCAATCGTCTTGTTACGTTCTAAAATGTGTTCTGTGTAATATTTTCCGAAAACAGTAAAACGTGACTTAATTCTCTCTGGAATTAAAGCAAAACAAGATGGCCACTAAAGTTAATTCCAGTCGGTAAGTAAATATGGACCTTAAAGTTAATTTAAATCCAGTTAACTTCAGCACTCGTAAAAAAATGTTAGCCTGTAGATCGAGTTTCATTAAAATCCACTGCTAAACGTCTGTAAAAGGTTCAAAACGATGGTAACAAACTTCAAACATTGAAATTATGTAAAGTGAACAGAACTTTAAATTTAAAATAAAAAAACCGTGTATAAAATTGTGATAAGATCCACGAGATTATATATAAAACATAAAAACTTTAATCGGTCCCTTGAACAAAAGAGCATCGGTCTTTAAAATGAATCACGTTGAACAAATCCTACACATGAGAACACACAGACTCGAATTTATTACATAAATGTAAAGTTTACTGAGTAATGTAACCCTTAAAATTAACTAAATTAGACCAACATTATACCTGCTCGACAACATTTAATATATACGACCAAGATACGTAATTTGGCCGAAATCGGCTACGGGTGTACTCCAATTCTACTTGGTTTAGGTTTTCCTGGTAACCGCGCGCGCACTAGAAAAGTTGCGTGGTGCCTGG